GTCCAAACCAGTCTTTAACTTCATGTACTCTACAGGATCTGATCCATGTGCTCATCAGTAACAAGCCTTATCTTTGGCTGAGCCTTTACCAGGCTACTCTGTGAGGTGCACTATCAAATTCCTACATAAATAGAAAGCCAGCTTCTTATATTGCCCATACTCCCACATACCTGCTTGGTTACATGGAGAAAGTGAATAGTGAAAGGTTTTATGTTCCACTTGTATGATTGGAGACTTTGTGCTTTAACACAAGCACCGGGGTCACAGGGCAGGAACAAGGTGTTTTCTTTCCAGTCAGCATGAACTGACATTTATTAGATGAGGGGTTTGTTCTATTTGTTTTTAGTCAATTACATTTTAACTCAGTTCAACAATGCTGGAAAACCTGACAAAATATTCTGGAGTGTTCAATCAACAGAAGGTCGTGGACAAATATCCAAAATTTAAAATAGAAGCACATTGCAATGAAAATTCGTTCTGCATTTGGGAAATCTGCATTACACATTTCTCTTTAGCTGAGAAAAGTTTTCTCAGAGAAATGCCAGTGTTTCTTGTGATTAATCATTGAAGAAATTGGCTTTTATTATTAATTTAACTGTGGAATTTTTGTCAGGCTCGTGAAACTGCCAAGTCCTCACCTGTTTAAGAGAATAAGCAACATGCACGTGTAAGAGGAGTGGAGGGCAGAGAAAGAGTGTTGAGGGACACATCAGTAGTATTTCTGCACATTCCCTTTAGAAGAACCCATATTTTCCATATGGGTTTTCAGGTTTCATCACATTCAAGTAAAACAAACAAACAGACAAACAAGCAAAATTAAAGGATTGGCTTCTCTGCAGTCAAATGTGAATCTGTTATCAATCCCAAACAGGTTAAACTCCAAACTTCTGAATGCATTTTCCTGCATCCCCCCTTGTAGCCTCACTTATTACAAAGGGGTAAGTAGAAGGGACAGGCTAAAAAAAAATATATCTATAAGCTACAAATTACAGCTTTGAATTTACTTCCTTTAGCAGGTTGTTACTTTCAACACAAACAGCCTTGTACAGGGGAAGAAGCATCATTCTCCAGCTTAGACAAGCTTTGCATTCAAATTTCCAGTTTGTTTATGAGGATATTAACTTTGGTTTGCTCACTGCAGAAAGGGCAGAGAGTCACCCTGAGAGCTCATTTCAATGGCTGTACAACAGAACGAATGTTTCCACTGCCATTTTGGTCACTATCACTATGAAGAGAAATGCTTAGTTCTTTAATATTTCTGCACTTAATTCACCAGTTACACAAAAAAGTGTTCTGAAGCCCATGGAGCTCTGGCTTCATGTTATACCATGGTCCAGAAAAATTAATATAATCAACAAGCACTGGTTCAGTGAGAACTTCTGCAAACATTAGAATAATTCATAAAAATTTGACTAAAAGGGGTATTTTAAAAAAACACAAACCCATTTTGATTCAATTTTCACTTCTTGTTCAGTACACTACTCCTTACACATTTGTATCTTGCAAAATACTTCTCAGCAAGGAATAGAAAGATAGCTAAAAATTCCGCTTTTCTGACAAGACAGTTTTGTAAGCTGTAAAATATACAGTAATCCTGTTTAATGGGTAGCATTCTAAACTAGTGAATAAAATTTGCTATTTGATCTTGCTCACACATACATGAAAAATGCTATTGGAAAAGATCTTATTTTCCCAATCAGGATACTAAAACCAGCCTCTCAAAGATGAGCTTGGTTATGTTAATACACGCAGTACCTATTCACACAGGTAGCATTACCTGAGGGTACAGCACTTTGTGGAGAATTAAAAATTAACTTCTGATGATGCAGAAATTATCCCTAGAGAAAGATGTCAGTCTGACCTCTTCATTTCAGTCACTGCTCAGGCTGAACAATTTTATCACCAGTCACTCAAAACCTACAGATTATCCCCTCTCAACACAGTTTGATTATTCTACTTGCTGAGCAACCTGCTCTAGTGGAAGATGCCCCTGCCCGTGGCAGGAGGGTTGGACTACATGACCTTTAAAAGATCCCTTCCAACTTGAACTATTTTATGATTCTGTGACAAGATGTAGCTCACCTATACCCAAGTCAGATACTTCTGACTGCATCAGTTCTGCAGGTATTTTCCAAACAGTGACTCATTCCTGCTCCTACTGAGAAACTGCCCCTTCAACATCATCATGACTGTTTTATGCTTTTAACAAGGATCCTATTGAAAATGATAAGTTTTTTTGAATTTTCATTCCAGAGTGGCACTGCTGGGATATTCTAGCTAAACATCACACACTGTCCTTTGCCAGAGATACTCACGGTTTTGCTTTCGGGATCACATGTTGCTTTTCTTCCATGGAATGAACATCTTGCAAGGTTCTGAGTCTGAATTCCAATCACAGTTCAATGTATAATTTCACTGCATTTTTGGGAGCTAGCCTGTGTTTTTGTTGCCTCTCACTGCACATCTTTCCAAAAGAAACTAAATCAACTGGGTGAAACACTAGCCCCTCCAACCACAGTCATTTTCTTTGCAACTTTCTAGTTTTTCCATCAGATTTATTTCTCTCAACTGAGGCTCTCTATTAGTCAGACATAGAAGATTTATATTTAAGGGTACAAAGTCTGGTATGGACAAAGTGAATCTTGTAGAACTGCTGTGCTTGAATGTATCAGAAGACAAAATGTAGGAAATCACATTTGAAATACATGAAGTGAAAACTGAACTATGACCAATCCTAAGTAAGTCTGTGTGTCTGCTACAAGTTCCCCGCTGGGTCTTTGTAGGCTCTGAGCTACTGCCATTTCCTCTAGGTCTCCATGCTGGAGATTCCACTCCACTGTGATACATTCTAGCTCTTTTTCTGCAAAGGTTCTTCATTTCTTCATTCTCTCATAGAAGTCTGAAAACAAAACACCCTTTTTCTGGCAGGGAGGTTTATACCGTTAAGAGAAAAAAAGAAGCACTTTAGAACTGCCATAGTTACAATCTGCTGTTCTAGAACACTTGCACCAGAGACATCATGCAAACCAGATCTGTACACAGGCCACAGGATTATAATTTAAACAGCTCTCAGACATCATTTTGCAAACATTTCAAGTCCAAAAAAGGTCTGTAAAACCACTGATCTGACAAAACCAGGGCAAGAAGAGAATTAACTGCCTGATTTTACTCAGTAGGCCCAAGGTCAGGTATTGAACAAAGCCTTCCTGACTCAGCTTCAACTACTATAGCACCCTGTCCCATGAATCACCCACTAAGAGTTAGCTTATTTAATGTCTACTTAGAATCTGCATGATTTAAACACTGTAATAATCACTAATCAATTTGACAAGCTTGAGATTAGAAGGGGAAATCTAGAAACTTGGTATAAAAATATCTTTGACCAATCCTTTTCCTACAGTTACACAAAGAAGTTAATTTCTTTATGTTACTATATAAATACATGTAACTCTGATACAGAGAGGTCCTCAAAAACAGAGCCTTAAACTGAAGTTAACACAATCATACTGAAACAAATGGACAGTCCTCACAGCACAGCAATCTCTTGCCTACAGTGCCCTTTCTTATAGTATTAAGTCCTTTCACCAGACAGATTGAGAGTTGGTTACCCTGGAAGGCAAGTGCCTTCCTGAGCTCCAGTCTATTCTGTGGCTCCAAGAGCAATTTGGACTATCTATTGCACAAAACAGACATTTCACTGGAATTTCTTCAACACAACCCACCTGCATTTTTTCTAGAGAAACTTGCTTGTTTTAGACTGAGAGTAATGGAAAATTCACACCACACTGCTGGCAATCGGTTCCACTGGTTAACTGTCTTCTTCTAAAGTTTCACTTTTGAACTTGGAAGCTGGTGTAAACAAACCAAATTAGTTTAGCCAGTAAGAAGCACTGTGAAGACATAAATTGGTCCGAAAGAGTCAGATTTCATTTGACCTTGCATCTTCTCAGGCTGAAGAAGTTCAGCATGAATAAGCACAAGTCTCACAGGGCTGACATTAGGGCCAAAAATCCATCATAGCTAAATTTAGGTCCAAGAAATCCAAAGCCACGAATAACTGTGTTGAATTACTTAAAAAAATAAAGGTATTTTGGCTTAAGTCTTAAATGTTTCCTGTTTTTAAGTTACATGGTTTTTTTGTTGGGTTTGGTTTTTGGTGGTTTTTTTTTCTTTTAGACTTCTCAAATGGTAAAAATAGTCTGAAAGCAAGAACTTTTAAAATGGATATCAAGTATAAAGGTGCATTAAGTATGGGTAACACGTTTACAGGCCTGATTTACACTGTGAAGGCCAATGCCATATATGCCTTCCAAAACTTGATTTTAAACTGTAGTTATTACTTACTATGTAAGCCTTTAGCTTGAACTTGGCCTTTTCAGTAAGGACTTAGATATAGCCACTGATGAAAGTTACACGTTTAAGTTAAGCTACTACATAGAAATGTGCAATGTGACTGAGCCAACACACACAAAGCTTCCTCGGCCTCTCCTGGCACAAGCAGATCGAAGCGTTCCGGGAACTCCCAAGCCCTGCTGTACAAGAGCTGTGGCGAACTCCCCTCCTGCCACCACCACCCTCCTGGCACAGGCGAAACCCCTTTCTTGTAGCGTTGTGGGAGGGGTGTTTGCTCTGCACCGGTGAACAAACACCAACGTAATACAGGATAACCTTCTCCATGCAGGTTTTCCCCTCAGCACCGCCAGGGCTGCAGTAAGGCAGGTGCGTTATATGGGGCAAACCAGCGGCCCTGCCTCAGCACGGAGCCATCGCTGCGCTCTGCTCGAACCTCCGCCCACGCGACACACTGGGGAATTTCAAGGGAATCACTCCCTCAAACCCAGAGCCTTTACCTGTTTGATCTGTGCCGTGAACGAACATTCCCTTTCCCCAGGGAAAGAGGGAGGGACCGGCGCCCACAAGGAGCCTGGGCAGGACCCGCCGGAGCTGAGGGCCCGGTGCCTCACGAGGCGGGAGCGTCGCCATCCCCGCGACCTCAGCAGCGCCCCCAGGGCAGGGCCGGCCCCGCTCCTTCTTCTCCATAAATCCCTCCCAACACTCCAAGGAAACAAGAGTTCATCTTCCTCCATAGTATTCTGAGTACCCCAGGTGCTTTGCTTCTTTAGGTGAAATTTGTTGTTTCTCTTAATTTTCTTTGGAGGTTTGGCTCTCTGATTCATTTGTATGCCATCGTTGCACACTGGCCATAAAAAAATCCTGCCAAGTGTTATGAGGGAAAACAAAGCACAGCTGCAGACTGGGACAGACAATAAGGAAGGTGAACCAAGCAGGTGTGGGCTCCCACAAATCGGGGCAGCTCTGGGGTGTGAGATCACCAGCCTTTGTGTGCCTTTGGAGATGGGCAGGAAGAATTTGTAATCCCAGGACTGAGGAACATCAGGAACTAAAGAGGCATTTCGCAATGTGAGGTACTCCATGAGGAAGGGGATGTAAAAAATCAGGCATCTGCAGGTACATGAAGCTTTTGAATGTCTTGAAATAAGTGTATATTTAGTGTTGGAAGAGCATGAGAAACAGTCGATTTGCACCTTGATCAAAAGAACACATTTCTTAATAGGAAACAGAGCCTGTCATGAAAATTGGAAGGTTCTCCCAGGGAACTATGACTTATTTAAACCACATTTTGTGGAAAAAAAATGTTTTGCAAAAAGAAATGTTTTGTATTTGCTGAAGCTTATGGGCACTTTCGAGTAGATTGTACCAGTAAGACTATAAAACTCTGATAGTAATAAGTAAATAAAATCAGAAATGCTTCCACTAAAGGTGGTTGCATAAAATAAAGCGAAAACAGTGTGAGATCACAAATAGATCATAGGGGTTCACCCCATGGAATAAGGAGCAAGTTTGCCACTAATGTTGCCAACAGCCAGTGGGAAAGGCCAGCAAGAAGAAACAAGAGAAAAATGTTACCCACTGTAAAAAAAAGTAGTACCAAAGTAAAGCCAAAGTAAGTCTTCTGGTTTGGGTGAGGGCTCTCTCAGAAATGTCCAAGCCCAGCCTACTCGTTGTACCTATAAGGATACAGGAAAGTAAAATGCATAGGTGTGTGTATGGACACTGCCTGGGCATCTGTGTGGCATCTGGAGCTCTCTCAGTGGCCTGGGCTACAATAAAACATGCAGTTCCTCTCTGATTTCAGGAATAGTTTCCACAAAGTCTTTCTTTGCATTTGAATTTCACCCTTACGTTCTGGCAAGCTAAGCAGAGACATAACTCTGTGACTAATGCTAATGTTGCAGTAGTAAAATATTGGGCAAAAGATGGGAAAACCAGACCCACTTGCCCAAAAGAATGATTTAATTGAAGTTTTCACTGTTCCAAAATAGGTATGTTTCACATCATAAAGAATTCTTCTGTCATGAAAACTATTTTTTTAAGGGGAGGGAAATTTTTCTTTGCAGCAAGCTGACTTTATTGGTAAGCAATTAAATATTTCTTTGGATCGCTGTTCAAAATTAATTACTCATTAATGTGGAAAAAGCAGCTATAGTCTTGCTGTGGATTCAGAGGTTTCCAACCGGGTGCATCTAATTCCAATAAGAAAAAAAACCCTAGAAAGAGTATTGTAATTACTGTCATATGAAAACCTGCTTCAGTCCAGATGTAGAAGCCGATACCACAAAAGTGTTAACATAGAGCAGTCTGCTGCAGGGGAATGACAGATGAATCCTACATATGTTTGCAAAAACGACATATTACATGATCCTTCTAGAATCTCTTGGGTTTGTTTTCGTTTTTCCAAAGCTCCTACAGAAAATGCAAATCCACAATAAGGTTTTGGACAGTGTCACAGACACTTCTGTATAAATTTGGATGAAAACTTGCATACCTAACTAACGCTGTCCACTCTGCACCCTCACAAGTAATTCCACTGAAGTAATGAAATTAGTGGTGTGAGTACACATTAAGGAACTGGCTCCTAATTCCAGGTTTTCCCCTTCAGGGAACAAACAAGAGCTTGTGGCTCTATGATGACCCAGGGACTTGCAGTGAGGACAGAGGATTGCCAGAAGTGTCAGGTATTAGGACTCACATCTTCAGAAGTTCTGATCTGTGCAGCAAGGGAGTGAGTCCTCAGAAATCTGAAAAGGATAATGGTGACAAGTGCTATATGCAGATTTCCTACTGCAACCAGTAGCAGCTTGCATGCACAAAGATTTCAGAAGTGGGCATCCTTTCCTTTTCCTTCCCAAGTTTTATTAATTTGACCAAAGACTATGTGGCTTCAGCCTTAACAGAAAACAATAAAATTCTGGGATGATTTAGGCTGGAACAACCTCTGAGTGACTTGTCTAATCCAAATCATTCCATTTCAATCCAAATTGATTTCATTATCCCTAAGTCATTTATTTAAATAAATGGAGTCAGGAGAGATCAGAGAGTTTAATTATTGGAAACACTGGTTGGCACTAAGTTTGGAATTAAAATTATTCACTTTGAAGTCCTTAAATGCACAGTATGACAATACCAGTTGTCAAGGAACACTTTTTCCTTGGTTAAAAAGGACAAGCTGAGCACAAAATGGAAGACCGAAACCTTGAATAATCCACATAATTCATCCTGTCAGCTAGAGAGTTACCCACTTTAATTCTCTTAACAAATCCTTTACTTTCCCATGCAGGGATAGGTGCAAGAACTCAGGGACTAATTTCCTAAAATGTGGAAGACTGAAATTACACCACAATTTGACTGATGATATGATTATGCATATTAAACAGGACTGACCTCACTTCAATGCTGTAGGAAAACCAGCTGTAACTGTTAAGACTTTAGTCTGGGCTAAAGTCCATCCTTTCCCTGCAGAAGACAACCAGGCTGCTCAGACATCCTTCCCCCCTGCCCCTGCTTCCCCTCATCCTTCAGGTGTATGGAAGTACCAAGGTTTGCCATTGGTTTTACAGCTACTTTGTCACAGCCAACATGATGTTCTAAAACCAAGTCATATCCCCCCTCAACTTTCTCCTCCCCAAACTGAAGACTGTTTTTAGACTCCCCTGGTAATCAACTCCTCCATCTCCTTGTTCAGTTTAGTTGCCTTTCACTGGCTCTTCCTTAAACTTGCTACATCCCTCTGGAGATTCCCACTCATTCTGCAGCAGTGCAGTGAGAGAGACCCTCCTGGAGTGCCATCCCATCCTTCCAACAGCCAAAGTAGAGCCTTTTGGTTCATCACCAATAGTTCAGAAAGATGGAGGAAAAGGAAAATAAGGGGTTTGGGTTGGCAATCTGGAAGCAGTCACTGGCCCAGTAAAACAGAGAGCAAACAGTGCTGTATATGCAGTGTATCTACAATCACTGTGCAACAGTCGGTGGAATGGGCTGGACTCCACCTTGCTTTGAGATTTAAGGAGTAATACAACACTGAATATGACTTTAGAAAAATATCTGGGAAGGAGACTGTTCAACTATTCATACTGTACATTACTATTTTCTTAAATCATTATATTATAAAAAACAAACCATCTGCAGAGGAACCTGCTTTGTGGGCGCTGCTGGTATTTCTATTTGTAGATTATTTTATTTTGAAAAGTATCCAGATTTTCCCAAGCAGACAGCGGTTTTAAGAGCAGGTTTGGGACACTGCTGGGAGCAAAGATCCTGTTGTAAATCTACTACATAACAAGCTGTACATCAGATTCTTTGCTATGGATATATTCATTTTTCTGTTTTTCCTCTGGGCAGTTCTAAATTTGCCACTTTCCCTTCAGCCCCAAAACGCTGTGTGCTGCAAAGCATTCCAGCAGATCATCTACTACATTAAACAAAAAGATAAATGTTCAGCTTAGTATAGTTTCTTTACTTCTTGCATTGAGCAAGGGATTATTAATACAAGTAGCAGAAAGGTCTGTTTATTTTACTGTGCTCACCTCTACAGCAGCAGACAGACATTATAGAAGAAAAATACTGAGGCCTAAATGTCTCTCCAGACAAGTTTTTTACACAGAGCTGTTCAGGGCAACATCTGACATTTGGCTAGAAAAAAATACACGCGCGCACACATCAAACTGTAACAACAATTTAATGTATCTTTTTTAATTATACAAAAGTCCCACCCTAATTATTCAAACATTAACAACTCATGCACTTAGTACAAAACCAATTCCTCTAGGCAAAAGAGCAGAGGAATGTGTAATTAATTCATTTTTAATTAAAGGTCATCACTGAAAATCATAGTATGTATGGATTTGAGTAATTATTATTCTAAATGGTGTTCTGTCCCAGTTTCCTGGGCAATCTCTCCACACCTTTGATACACCACAGTGCTCTCCCAGTACACATGGATAAAGCTGTCTACAGGAGCCCTTCAGAAACAAACAGCACTGTTTAGTTTCAGCTGTCACAAGTTCAACAACATTGAAATCATGTATAAATCATCAAGGACATTCAAAATGTCAGATGTGAAGCCTGTGTGACAAGAGGTGATTCCAAATCAAGTTTGTCCCCAGCCTGAACACCTTAAAGGCAGTTCACCCATAAAACAGTGTGGGGGCACCAGGCCTTTCCACACATTCCTGCCATGCCCTTCTGGACCAGCACCTACTTTCCCTTACCCTGCTGAATCCAGTCAATCATCTTCTTAGGCAGCCAAGTTCATCAGCAACGCAGGCTGTCTTCCCATCCTCTTTCCCTCAGTCCTCAGGCTCCACATCACTTAACTCTTCCATAACATTCATAAACAGATTTCCTTTAAAGCAAAGAGATACAAACAACACCTTTTTGACTACTGTCATGAACATGAAAATGCTGCAGAATGCACACAGCTCAGAGACCTCACTCCAAGGTCAGGGAGCCACGTAACCTCAGCAAAGGAACAAATTCAGAGTCATAATCATTTGCTGCTTCCACTGGAAAACCTATTCTAGGAACATGGGCTTTACAGTGCTCAGGAGGCAGAGCTGTGAGCCTGGTAGCTCTAACATGATCATAAAGAGAGGCAGGGGAGTAAGCCCCTTCTAGCTTCTAGTGTTGTGTTCAGCTGCTCGGTGACTAAGTGTCACTCAACCCTCATTAACTAACACTCTCCTCAGAAAGGAAAATAGTGCTGCCTGCTCTCAGCTCTTCTCCAGCCCATTTACTGTTTAGAGTGTACAAGTTGGTCTCTGCTTGTTTCTTCTGGGGAAGAAGGTGGTTGTCCAGGTTCATGAACCACCCTTGAATCCTCATTGTCAGCTTCAGTAGCTAAAATGAAGAACAGAAAAATGTCAGAGTTAAACACAGACAAGCCAAACCCTCAAACCCTGTATTTCAGTTCTCTTTACACTTGGTACCAATCACATTTCCACAGTTGAAGCTGCACTGGAATAGAAGTATGAGGTAGATGCTTTTACCCACATACCCACACTGAACCTATGCCATGCCTTTTTAACACTCCTGTGAATTTTTAAAGACCTGGACAGACCGATTAATAAACCCTTCTTCAAATCCAACAAGGGATTTTCATTTCATTTCCTCACAGGCAAGGTGGGTTTTGTTTTTCTGTGGCTTGCTCTTTCAGAAAGCCAACAATCTGCAAGCAGAGTCTATCCTCAGAAGCTGTACTGTCTGTTCTACTGGACATACCTTGTGTTTAATTTGTCAAATCTCCATAACACTTCTAGTTCATACTGCATGAAATTAAGTAACAACATGGCCTATACTTCACATCACCACTGTAAACCAAACTGGCCTCATACTGACTCAAATCCTTCTGGTAACAGATACTAGTCTAAGAACACCTTTCTCAGGTAGGACTTGGGTTTTTTTATTTGTCTTCATCTCAGATTTCCTTTGGGGCAGAGATCACAAATACCTTTCCTCACCATTTGTTCCTTGCTAGAGTTTTTATATCCATTTTCCTGCAACAGTTTTGCCAGAAAGCCCATTTCACTGGAGTTCTGGAGGTCTCTGGGGGAAGGATATTCCCAAGTCTAACTGCAGGTTGGAGTCAGTTTGGTTTTGAAAGAAAAAAGACATTATGCAATCCTAACACATCCCTATGTACTACGTTACAGCTTTTCTCTTTTTTTCAAGCATCTTGAATTCCAGAATCAAAGGATTTATTAGTTTCACTCTTCCCTCTACATCTGCATTTTCTGCTGCCAGGCTATTTTGTATGACCTCATGCAGAATTATCCCTCTCACTGGGTTACAATTGCAAATTCCTACATACCCTGGAGCACAAATGCAATGCAGTAGAATTAATTTCTACTTTCTCCATAGTACTAAGAAAATTGAATTGTTCTCTGAGCAGCACAGTCCATGATGCATTGTTTCCTATGGCTTTGTGCCTGGGCTGAGGTCATTAGATGGCATTTTGCTCTCGGGGGGAGGCTGCTCTCTTGGTGTCTCTTCTCTATCCTGTTTTCATCATTTTTGGCCAGTACAATGTCACTCTACCAGTACAGGACTGGATTTCCTGTTTCCCTCACACAATACTATAACTTCACTCCATGTCTGCCATGTTTGTGTGCTACTCCCAGTTTCTTCCCATTCCTATGAAGTCCAACAGAAAAGCTGCAGCTCCCTACACATTCTGTGCCACTGCAGCATTTCCCAGATCTCCAATCACAAAACCCATTAATCCCTACATACACTTTCTGGTTTATGTGCTAGCGCTTGTTTTCCTCTCTTCCCCTCTAACTCAGGAGAGAAATAAAGTTGTATTTATTTATCTGTATTTTCAAAAATTTAAGTTAAAAAAACCCTCATAAAATAAAAAATAAATTTAAAATAAAACTGGATATTTGCTCATCCAGTACTAGTGCTAATTCTCTGAGCAGCTCTACCCTCTTGTGGTCACAGCTTGCTGCAGCCAAATGAAAAACTTGTGAATATAATCACAAATATGTCCACATGTAGGCACAATACATGAAACAGACACAAAGTAGAGGGGCACAAAGACTAATCTATGCCAGAAATTGAAATTCCTGAGAGAATCGACTCAAGATTTTGAAGATTCAATCTTTCTTTTGCAGCAATTAAAAAGTAGGATTTTCAGATGAGCAAGAAATTTCATATTATTCATGATAAGGGTTAGTCCATGTTATTTTTTAAAAACTTGTCTAAATTGCAACAGAGCCAAATAATTTCTAAAATATGCCCTTCAAACTAGCTATGTAGAAAATATTTTCATTTTGAGAACATCAGCAGATCATTTTCTGAATAGCTCTGAGTCCTGCGGCCTTCAATGTCTGCCTGAGACTGAGATGCTTGTCAGCTAGAAAGCCCAAGCATGCCAGGCTGCTTCCCTTAGGTCAGCCCCTCCCAGAGCTGTGCCAGCTGGCAATCTGTCCCAGGACTTCAGGACCTCAGGACCTCAGTCCTGGCTCCATCTCAGGACTCTGGGAACCCCTCACAACTAGCTGGGATCAGGGTCTCTTGGGGTTTCCACCT